TGAGTGGGGCGGCAGGGGTAGATGGAGTCTTTTCAGGGGGAAGGTGGTGGCAGGAATAGAACAGGCTGGGAAGAGCTGCTTGCTGATTTTCAACTTGAGTGTTGAAGTGACTTTTGTTTACTGGATTGTTCTTTGCAGCGTATTGGTGTGGCACTGTCAGAATTGTATCAGTGGTGTTGTAAGATGTATACACTCAGTGGATCAAACAAACACTGCCAGCTGTTCTTTTGGCTTTTGACCATCGTGTGGTAGATGTTCTGATACCACCAGTAGGACAGGACAGCCTGTAGGGAGGACCTCCTATGTGACTGGAAGACTGCAAATACGAAGTGATGAATGATGGGCAGTCTTAGAAGGTAACTGTCTTTGAAATACTATTTCTTGCAGTTCTACTCACTGACTTATTATGAAATTATATAACATCATTTATGTAATAACTAAAAGAATATTCATTGGTGCGTGAGAAAGTTTCATTTTTTCTTTCATCAATACGATTCTGGAGGACCCATTAGACAGGACAGGACCAATGGACCGTTTGTATCGAGAATGTCAAGAAACGAGACGTGATAAAATGATGATCAGCATCAGAAGGTATTTGTCGTTGAAGTATGTCTTGCAACACTATTCACTGAGACTCAAGTTAGTTCCATATTAGGACATCATCTAACTCATAATGACTATAAAATTAGAATACCTATCGATGAGTCAGGGTTCGACTTGAAATGTCGGAAATCTACACCCAAAGTGATCTAAATTGTGTTGATGGGGGTGTAAAAATAACTCCCACACAAAAAAATAAAACACATTTAAAGTGAACACCTTTCATAAGCATTAGTCTTATTGATCAGTGACAACAAAAATGGAATCTTAAAATTATCTGAAACTGTTAATTAACGCAAAGGGAATTGTTAACGCATCATCACCAGGGTCGTCTACAGGGCAGGAATATATTGACAATTTGCACTGTTGGCTCTAGCTTTGAATAATAAATTGGTTGTTTTTTTCTTTTTGGCCCTTTTCAAAATCAAGTAGCCTACGTGTCGTATTTGTAACCTGCCTTTTTTCCTTCTTCCTTGCCAGTGCAGTGAATGTTTTTAACTCTTGTAACTAAATAAAACTATATCGATGTTGGAGGATTTTCTATGACACAATTCTTTCCTCAGAATTGCCCACAGTACAACTCCGGTGGATTGCGGACAGGATCAGAGGATTGTCCTTATCGACTGTGTCGAGAAACAAGAAACGTTGAATGATCAGCCTCAAAAGGTATTTATCTTTGAAAGATGTCTTGGCCTATTTAGACCTACTAAAAACAACCTGTTATGACTGGACATTTAGAATACCCATTGAAACTTGGGAGTTTCATGTTTATGTTTAGATTTCTCTCAAAAACTGCTGATGGATATGTCTAATGGTTCCTGAAAACGTATACCTATAAATTGAACGTTTGCTTGTAACTGACGTAATTCAAACGGGAGCAATTTGTTTCAGGGTCTTTTGAAGGTTATATTTCCTTTTCAACCTGTATTGTTCATGTATCTTTTTTCACACCAGTGTAGGGAACACTTGTGCCGTAATTTTTAGTTGAGTAAAAGATGGACACAATGTGAAGTATAGACATCCTTGAAGATCAAAACTTCCTTTCTGTCATATGCTACATTTGTTTTACTACTTTGCTCATTTTGATAAAAATGTACTGAATTTAAATAGATCTAATCACGTATTAAATATTTTAGATGCTTCAACATGAATGTGCTTAAACTAAAAATTACTTAGTAATGCAAACTGATTTAAATTGAATTTGTTTCCCTCAGATCACTGCCACTCTTCAGACTTTTGGTCAAGAAGACACTGGGGTTATCAGTAAGTCTACCACTAAAAGTCAAAGGACAAACAGCTGGCAGTGTTTGTTTGATCCACTGAGTATACATTTTACAGCATCATTGACACCCTAATGGCAACTCAGCACCAAGAAGGTGCAAGGAACAAGACAGTATGCAAAATTCACTTCAACACTCGAGCTTAAAATCAGTAGGCAGCTCTTCCCACCCAATTCTGCTTCCACCATCCCCTCCCTTTTGTAAAGATAGGTTGATAGGAAGTTAGGTAGATACGCTAGCTTCAGAGTAGGATTTTGTAGATAGTATTGCCATGGCCATGGCGGGAGGCAGTGTAG